GGCTAGCACGGCTCCGCAAGATTTAGAAGCCCTCAGGTTAAACGTTAGAAGGCCGTCATGATCTAAATCTTCCGGGTGATTTTCTTTGATTGTATTATAATACATTTTGATAAAATTAATTAAATTCTGAAGAAAAATATTATTGATTTCTAAAGTATTTAGAAAACTAAAAAAGATAATGTCATCAACTTTCTTTTCAAATGATACCAAATTTTCCACTTGATACAATATGGCTTTGTCTAATGCTTTTGCTATAACAAGTTTTAATATGTCATTTAATCATGTTAACTCTTAGTTAATTTATCAATATTGTTTTGCAGATCATTAAGTTAATTTAATAAGTTATTATCTTATTTGATTAGTTTCTCTCTATTTGTTGTCAAAGCTTTATTTTGTTGAAGAAGATTTGTATTCTCACGAAGTAGATTAATATTTTGCTATTGAAGTTCATTAAGATTGATTTGTGAGCTAGATGCCATTTTATAAAGATATAAATAAAATTATTATACGTTTATTTTATATAAAAAATTAATACAATTTAAAATAATAATAATAAAAATATAATATTTGTTTAAACCAAAATAATTTTGATTATCTAATTAATATTAAATTTTGTTTTTTTTAATTACTTGATTATTTTTTTGAGCTAAAGTAAATTTTCTTTTTTTTTGTCGAAAAGTATATTTACTATCATCAGAATCAGGTTCAGATAATTCAATTTCTATATTATTATTAATTTCAAAATGTTGATCTTTTAATTGCAATGAATCTGAATCATAATCAAGTTCTATTTCATCATCTGATTCAACCTTTGCACGTATTTGTTGTTTATAATTAGATAATTCTTTGCAATATAGATAATCTCATAAATAAAGTTTTTATACTTAGAAAAAATTTGACACCAATAAACTTGATTATCTTTGATTATAACTTCTTCTAGTTTATCTTTGTTTAGTTCTTGAACAATTTTTTTAAGTTCTTTAGTAGTATACTCGCATTTGTTATATTTGAGATCCTAAAGTATATCATGAAAATCAGATTCTGAACCTTTATAAAAGATGAGTTGTATTGTATGTTTTTCAATATTATAATTCCATTTGCCTTTGAATTTAATTATAAAATCAAGTTGTTATTTAAATTGTTTCTAGTCACATTGGAATAATGTTTCATCGTCCATATTTCTTTAACCAAAATTAAAAGCTTCTTTGGCAGGTTTACAAGAAGTCATGAAAATATATTTGGCCAAGAAGAGAACAAATGACTTCCTTTTAATTTCAATAGTTTTTGGAGTGCTATTTAAATATTTTACAATAGAATTCCAATCAACATATATATACCATTCATCAAAAAAAACTATAGAATAACCTTGATAACTATCTTATCAAGAAGACCTGTTTTTTTGTTTTTTAGATTTAGGATACAACTCTAACCAAAATAGCTTCTGAACCAGATTTGATTTGCTTGCACTACCCTCACTATAAAAATAGAACATTACTGAATGCCAAAATCTTTCTAACTGGATTTTCTTCTTTTTTATATTTTTAACTGCATTACAAACAATATATATATTTTTTAGATTGTTTGTCTATGCTTGTGAAAAGTTTTGAGTATGTTTAATAATTGCCTCTCCAGTTTGCTTGTCATGATTCCAATAACCAACATATTGTTTTGAATTATTACAAAATTTGGCTCATCCTTGTGCATAATATCAGCCAGGTAGAAATGAATTATTATTGAGTTCAAACTTAAAAAATAATTCTTTAAATTTGCATAATTTTGTTTTAAAAAGTTTAGAAATATATACAAGGAAAATGTCTAAACATCAGTAAAAAAAAGTTCTAGAAAGTTCTACTATATTAAAAAAAAATGTCTAAAGAAAATTGCCATCAGAATTAAAACATGTTTTATATGAAATTTTATTAATACAATCAATTTAATATTATTAATAAAATATAGAACAGACAAAAAAACTACTAGTTTCATAGAATCACTTTAAACATTTTACTAATAAATTTTGAAATATTTAATGATTACAGTTACATGAACATTTTTGATCTGCAAAGATAATTTAAAACTGCTTCATCAAAATTTGGCATCATTCTACGAATATTTATCTGTTTGACCTGAAATTTTACATACATATTCTTGGATATTATTTGCACCAATGTTGTTATTATCGTATTGCATGTTTACTTGTAGCAAAAAAAATTTTATTAGTATGCTTCATTCTTAAATATATAGAAAAAGAGACCTTTACATAAAAGATTAATGAAAAAATACAAGATCTTGGTCAAAATTTGTCTAAATCTTGCCAAACTTTACAGAAAAATTTCTACACAACTCCTCAACTAGTATGTAAAATTTGAATATATGTTATTATGTAAGTTTTCAAAATCTGGGCTAAAACCAAAAATTTTTGTCAATTTTTATCACAAATTTTCGTATCTCCAAAACTATATAAAAAAATCTCATGATTTTGTCAATTTCAAAGCTAAAGGTCTGTAATTTTAACCACAAATAGTTGAACATCTCACATATTAGCCATATTAATACATTAATTGAGGTTTCATTTGAACAAAGTATTCAGAATTAGATTTTTCTACACAGAAAAACTTGCAAAAATGTATAGGTTTTCTTTTTACAAAAATCGAAATATCTTCATGACTTTTTATCCTTTTACATAAAAATTTGGATTCAAGTAGCCTGAATTCATATCTATAAGTTTAATTAGAAGCATTTTGATAGTTAGTTAGACAGAATTTTAAGATAAGTATTGCCGGAAGTAGAATATTATATTGGGAACAAATTTTGGTATAAAAATTGATTTACTATTAAATCTATATGGAACAAAAATATGGAACAAAACTATGAAACTTAAATTTTAGATTGGTAGTATGTTGATCGTTGGAACAAATTTTGAAATAAAGAATTTTGATTGGTTGAAACAAATTTTGGTACAAAAATCGATTTACTATTAAATCTATATGGAACAAAAATATAAAACAAAACTATAAAACTTAAATTTTAGACTGGAGTATGTAGATCGTTAGAACAAATTTCATATAAACTTAAGAATTAGAATTATTCTGTAATAAATACATGTATAAATAAAATATAAGCACATTTCAGTACTAAAGTACTGAAATGTACTTATTTTTATTATATATATATTATATTACATCTAGTATTAGATGGCCGGAGTAATACTAAAACTAAAGGCCCTAGTTTTTTCTCTTACTTTTAAACAGACAAAAGACTTAGTTAAATACAGACAGTACTCTCTTCTTTTTATTTCTTTTATCCATTAGATATAAAAACTATTTTTATAATATTATCATTATAAAGCTAAATAAAATATACTTGTTTTTGTTATACTTTATCTTGTAAACAAACTGCTATAGTAAAGTAATATTTTACTTAAACACTACTATGAGTTTTGGAGCTATGTTTTATATTACTTGTATTATATTAAAAAAGCTATAACACTTGTAATATTTTGATACCTTCTAGCAAAAAAAAAAAATAAAAGTCAGAAAGAAAAATAAAAGCTAGAAAAGAAAAATAAAAGCTAGAAAGAAAGCAAAAGTTTTATATCTCTTGACTTAGATATTATTTAATAAACACCTATTACTTGAACATGATAGTGTACTTAGAAGACCTGACAAATTGAAAGAGATTTACTCAAAAAAGTATACTTGAAGCCTCTGTATTTATTATATTTAGAGCTAGCAGCTTACTGCAACCTCCAGGTTAGATTCCTAATAATAAAGAGTTCTTTACAAGCCAAACATATCTCTTAAATTGTAATACAAGCAAATTTGCCTGCATTTTTATTAAAAAGTTTAATTTTTTTTAATAAAATCTTATATATTGATTTTAGCTATATATTTTCTAAGTAAAATA